TTTTGGGGGAATAGGGCTGGAGGATGAGGGCCGCTGGACTGGAGGAGGAATGTGGGCCGAAGGAAGTGAGGTGGGATGGGCCAGCGGCCTGGACTTAGGGGAATTCGGCCTTTGGTTTGGAGATTTGGGATTTTGGGGTTTGGGAATTTGAGGTGTTTGGGTTTGGGGAATTTTGGGCCGAAATAGGGGCTTTGGGTTTTGGGTGGGGATTTGAAATTTGGATTTTTGGACTTTTGATTCTTGGGTTTTAGGTTTGGGCTTGGGTAAGGGAACTTGAGGTAAAGGTTTGGATTGATTTAAAGGATGGTTTTGGGTTTCTGATTGGGACTCCTGGGCCTTAAGCTTGCATCGCTCCGAAGAATGGCCTTGTCTCCAACAGTAATCACAATAATAAGGAAGTCTCTCATACACCACTGATTGGACAAAACCACAATCTTCATTACCCACTACCTCAGAAATACCCACAAAAATCTCTTTCAGCAAAGGCTTAAGCAGATCAACCTCAACGCAGACCCGTGCCACGTGAGGCTTCTCCCTTGCAAGAGTGACTTTATCTACGCCCAATAATTTTCCAATGGGCTTACAGATCAGAGACAACGCATGAAAATTGAACATATGAAGAGGGAGACCATAAAAAAGAATCCAAGCAGGTGCAAGTGAGGTCTCAACCTCCGGATCAAAATCAGGTGTCCATCTAAATAAACGCATCGGATAATCCCCAGTGAAAAATATTGAGCCTTCAAGAAGCATATTGGTGCAATCGTGGGAGTTGGAAAACATAATAAATACATGCTTGGAATCACGCAGAAACAGATCCACGAAACACATAATTAGTAGCAAAGTGAGCTTTAATTACCTCCAACTTAGGTTGCCCATGAGAAAATTTTCCAACCAGAATATACTTGTCAATGAGAGCTAAGTCACTGACCTCAGATTCATTGAACCTCACAGCGGGCAAACCTCGATGAATAGTGACCTCACGATCCGGAAGTGGCTCCGTAACAAAAGTAGGAAGAGAAATGCGTTTGGATCCGTAAACCACCTGAGCGAGGCTGGGAGCTGGTTTTTTGGCATCAGCAAGAGGAACTGAAGGTTCTGGTTTTTTCCCGGTGGCCGGCGCCGCCGCCGCCGGCGGAGCTCTGGCGGCCGTCGCCGGAAAAGTGACCGGAGCAGAATTTGATGAGACCAACGCCAATGGCTTCGTCTTGATGTGTGGATCACGATTATGCAACTCTTTCTTCACAATTTTGGCTGGAACTCGTCGAATTGTAGGATTTACGCTTGAAAAAACCCTAATTTCCGTCGTTTGGGGGTTTTCCAAATCGGCCTCCAAATGTGAAATTGATGGATCCTTTGTCTTCGTGGAGAGACCAGGGACCTGTTTGAGCGGTTGGACGCCATCAATTTGGCCGGAGGTGGCCGGAATCACCTCCAACCCGTCGGAAACCGCCACCACGGGTTGCAGCGACGATCTGGCGTTCCCGGCGTCCAAATGGAGCATGGCTGGTGGCGTTGGACTCGTATGGTTGTTAGGAACACGACAGGAGCAACTGGGAGCCTCGCCGATGAGTGTGACGGCCGGAAAAATTTGCGCCGCAGAAGGGAGATCGCCTCCTTCGACCTGGCGTTTTCCGGTAGCTTTTCCGGGGAAGTTTGGGTGCTCTGAGTTCGTCTTGATGTCAGGAAGATGATGGGATGGGTGGCGCGGCTGATCGCCGGCCATGGCGGCCGGAATCTGCAAATCGCCCAAATGGGCGAAAATCGCCTAGAGAGAGAGAGCCGCGCGCGGGGGTTTGGTTTAGAGTTTAGGGTTTAGGGTTTATGGTTTAGGGTTTAGGGTTCAGGATTTTTTTTAATAAAAGCAGTTTTATTCGCATAAATAAAGAGTTTTGGTGGAAGGAACAAGTCTCCAACTCACCGGAAAAGAAATGCAGTAAATTAAATAAATACAGACTAAGACAGCAGAATAAATGTAACAATGAAGTAGAGCCGACTGTCAAAGCCAAGGACAAGGCAGCAGAAAAGATCCAACGCGAAAGCAGTGCCGACTACCCAGTCCAGCCTCGCAGGAAAGTAGATCAGCCCAAGAACCGCTCCTCATAATTACGGTATCTCGAGCGTGTCTTCCTGTAGTTCCGCGGCGGGGACAACCCAGCCGCCTCTAGATCCCGCTGAAACGGCTGAAGATTGGGCCCATAGTATCCAACATTGGATTTAGGCCTAAAATCATAACGAATGTCTTCCTGCTCCTCCTCCCAGATCAAGTCATCCTCATCCTCATCTGAATTGGGGTAGGAATCCTCACCGTACCTACGACCATCACAATGATAGCGTACGTCATGCGGATCCTCGTACGAAGGACCAGGATCCTGACAGTACGAAGGACGGGCATAAAAGTCCCTATTCGAAGGGATGGTGTTGGCCAAGCGGTTCAAAGTGCAGATCATGGGAGTACGGGCCGCAGGTGTAAATGGGGTTTTCTCCCTCTTCCTCCCTAAATCAATATCAAAAGAAGCAAAGGGGAGGGCGGACGCATCGAACTCAAGATCTTCAGTAGGCGCATCAGGCTCGTCAGATGTCTCGAGAAACTTCAATTCCTCCGAAGTGGGAGGTCTAGAACCTTTGCCGGATTTTACCTGCCAATCAGAAATGGGTTGTGAAAGTGGAGTGCTTGGGTTATTGGGCGTGGGAGATGAGATTGGATTTGGGATAAAAGGTGGAGACTGCGGGTTAAGGGTTTTGGACTTGGGGTGGATCGGGTTGGGTTGAGGGAATGGGCCAAGGGAAATGGGGTTTGGG